CCCCAAAACCCCAAAACCCCAAAACCCCAAAACCCCAATAGTCCACTGCAACTTATAATAAAAATGACAGACTCTCCCAAAGACTTGAGCCTACCCCTCCAAGCTGCCCAGGCACGAGGTCTAGTACAACTCTCCAGCAAGAAGAGGAAGTGGAGTGGCAAGATTGGCATAGAACAGACTGGGTTAGGAGAGATTAAGTAAGGAAGGGGAGAGAGGAAGGGGTGGTAGCGAGGGGTGGTAGCGAAGGGGTGGAGAAAAGGGAGTTTAAGGGATTGTTATGGGGTTTAGGGGAAATTTAGGAAAAAAGTGGGAATTTTAGGGGTGATGATGGATATAGGGATCTATGAGGGCATACACCAAATTAAAAGCTTAGTTTTACCAATTGCGTTTGATAAGGAGTTAAGGGATTCAAAGAGAAGATTTCAAGGAGTCAGGAAAAGATATCGATGTGGTTATAATAATGTAACCTGTGTACCAGAACACTCGCTCAGTTCAGGTATACTTTCTGGAACATTAATAATTTCGATGATTAATTTTGAAATTATAACTTAAAGTGTCTTAAAATGTCACTATCTTTATTTCTAAATCAAGATTCTTTTAATAGAGAGAGATTGCTCCGATGCCTCAAAGATGATATACAAGCTGGCTCTAAAAGGCAAGTTCAAATAAGGTGAAAGTGCTCAAAAATCTCAAACTAGCACCAAAGGAAGAAGTTAGTAAAGAAAAAGTGCGTCATACTGCTTCCAACAAAATCGAACCTCACTCAGGAGGTGACAAAAAGAGGACCATCAGGCTTGATAAAAGAATCAGAGAATGAAGAAATAAGGTATTATCATTTCTCAAACTTTCCTTCATCAGTTTTGGAGGTAATTTTTCATTATCTTACAATAACATTTTCCATGCCAAAATATTCATCAACTAGTTTAGATCAAGCTAAAACAAAGAGACAGCGTAGGATTAGATTCCTCTTCAACAGAGTCTCACAGTATTAGAAATGAATTTTCTCAAGAGGAAGAGAAACTAGCACCTAAATTGATCAGACCTGTAAAATCTGTAGATTTATCAGCCAGAAAGAGTTGAAAATCAAAAAAATTTAAACCAAGGGTTCAGATATCTTCAACTAATTCATTAACTCCAATTCCTCAACAACTAGAAACTCCTTGTAAGCCGAGCATTAAAAAGCCACCATTGCCCAAGAAGTGACAGAAAAGGTATATGATTTCAAAGATTTTGCTTTCTAAATCATCTTCCTTCAACAGCAGTCCAGGAAAAGGAAGGGTCTCTCCAACTACTCTTTGCTTGACTCCTAAAACCAAGCACAGGCTATCTCTATCTCCTCATCGGCGTGTTATAAGACGTCGTAGGGCGATATCAAGCAAGGATGTGTTTAAAAGTTTGTAATTTTCAATTACTCACATAATCTCAGGGGTTTTGGGGTTTTGGGGTTTTGGGGTTTTGGGG